GGGGGAGCCTAGAGAGGATGGAGCGCGGAGCGGCAGGAGGAGGACCATAGAGAGGATGGAGCGCGGAGCGGCAGGAGGCGGACCATAGAGAGGATGGAGCGCCGAGCGACAGGAGTCGGACCATAGAGAGGATGGAGTGCCGAGCGACAGGAGTCGGATCATAGAGAGGATGGAGCGCGACACAGAGCGGCAGGAGGCGGACCGTAGAGAGGACAAAGTGCAGAGCAGCAGGAGGCGGACCATAAAGAGGAAGGAACACAGAGCGGCAGGAGGCGGACCGTAGAGAGGACAAAGTGCAGAGCAGCAGGAGGCGGACCATAAAGAGGAAGGAACACAGAGCGGCAGGAGGCGGACCGTAGAGAGGACAAAGTGCAGAGCAGCAGGAGGCGGACCATAAAGAGGAAGGAACACAGAGCGGCAGGAGGCGGACCGTAGAGAGGACAAAGTGCAGAGCAGCAGGAGGCGGACCATAAAGAGGAAGGAACACAGAGCGGCAGGAGGCGGACCGTAGAGAGGACAAAGTGCAGAGCAGCAGGAGGCGGACCATAAAGAGGAAGGAACACAGAGCGGCAGGAGGCGGACCGTAGAGAGGACAAAGTGCAGAGCAGCAGGAGGCGGACCATAAAGAGGAAGGAACACAGAGCGGCAGGAGGCGGACCGTAGAGAGGACAAAGTGCAGAGCAGCAGGAGGCGGACCATAAAGAGGAAGGAACACAGAGCGGCAGGAGGCGGACCGTAGAGAGGACAAAGTGCAGAGCAGCAGGAGGCGGACCATAAAGAGGAAGGAACACAGAGCGGCAGGAGGCGGACCGTAGAGAGGACAAAGTGCAGAGCAGCAGGAGGCGGACCATAAAGAGGAAGGAACACAGAGCGGCAGGAGGCGGACCGTAGAGAGGACAAAGTGCAGAGCGGCACGCGGCATATCATAGGTGGACCATAGAGAGGAAGCAGCGCAGAGCGGAAGGAGGTGGACCATAGGGAGGTCGGAGCGCAAAGCGGCAAGAGGCGGACCATAGAGTGCTCAGCCTGGAGGGCCGGAGGTGGCTGGAGCGGCTGGAGGCAGACCATAGGGAGTGCGCAGCATGGAGCAGAGTGGCCGGAGGAGGACCATAGAGAGGACGGAGTGCAGAGCAGCCGGAAGCAGACCACAGAGAGGACAAAGTGCAGAGCGGCCGGATGAAGACCATAGAGAGACGGAGCGCAGAGCGGCCAGAGGCGGACCACAGAGAGCACAGAGCGCCCGGAAGCGGAGCCTAGAGAGGACGGAGCACAGAGCGGAAGGAGGAGGACTATAGAGAGCTCGAAGCGGCCGGAAGCGGACCATAGAGAGCTCGAAGCGGCCGGAAGCGGACCATAGAGAGCGCGGAGCGGCCGGAAGCGGAGCCTAGAGAGGACGGAGCGCAGAGCGGAAGGAGGAAGGACTATAGAGAGCTCGAAGCGGCCGGAAGCGGACCATAGAGAGCACGGAGCGAAGCGGCCGGAAGCGGACCATAGAGAGCGCGGAGCGGCCGGAAGCGGAGCCTAGAGAGGACGGAGCGCAGAGCGGGAGGAGGAAGAA